GAGAGAGAGAGAGAGGGAAGGCTGCACAATTGTGGGTTTTTAAAAACTTCTAGAGTTTTAAAAAGAAGGTTTTGAAAGGATTTTAGAGAGAAAAGAGAATACAGAACATGAGTTTTGATAGGTTTTAGAATCGAGTGGGTTTAGGAAAGAAAAAGGAATCTAGGTTGATCCAAACACCGAATAGCCACAAAAAGAGAAGTGGGAGTGAATTGCAAATGGCATGGTAAAGGCGCAGTGGGAGTGAATCGCAAATGGCATGGTAAAGGCGTCCCAGGATGGCAGGTATGACTGATTAGCTAGTAGTATTACCAGAAACAGTCCATATGGGTTTCATCTATCTCATTACCTTCTTTCCCGAACAAGAGACTGCCAAAAGCGGAGGGCAAGTGTGGGCATGGTTTGAGTGCAAGTCATGTTTCTATGGCTATTTTGAAGAAAAGCATCTTGTAGTTTTACCAATCACACCATCTTGATGTTGTGCTTTGTGAAAAGGGAAGCCTCATTTTTTAGTGGATAGTGCCAAACAATCTGGAAAAAGAAGCAAAAGATGATGGATTTTCCATGTTAAATACCCAAAATTTTAGATGTCCCCTCAAGTGTGATGGTTAGTTCTCTTAGATGAAACAAAACATGCATTTTGTGGATTCCACTTTTGTTCCATAGATCAAAATGAAGTCCACAAAAAATGGCAAATGGTGAAAACTGTACTGTTCTAGCTCGTCATAGTGATAAGCAGGCAAGGAACCAAACCAAGAGATGAGTCAAGTTGGGCATGGGACACCACAATCCAAACGAGCAGGTTTTTCTCACAAAAGTGAAACAATTTCAAGTGCAATTAATAAACATGACGCCCCTAGCATTTGGATCATGTTAAATCCAATTTATTTTGCATAAGTTTTTGTCAATTGCATACTCTTTTTGTTTCCTTGAGAACTTCCATAAAAGTACATCCTCTTTTCCAAATAGGGGACTGACCACCCATTTACTGGTTTAGTTGGGGCCTTTGAGGGACTTCAGAGCCCGTTCCAACCGACCTAATTCCTACTCGGGAGGAACAGAGCGCCTTTCAAAATATTGCTTGAGTTTTTGCAAAAGGTAGGAAAAGTCTCAATTAGATCATTGTCTAGGTGTTGGGCCTACATGCTTCTTTCTTTTGAGCATTTTGTGAGTTCTCTTTTCCATTCATTGTGCTCCATTTTATCTTTTTGTTATTTTGTTTAGATTTGTTTCACTGATAGGTTTGTTTCACTCCTAGGATGATGTTCCCAAGGTTATCTGTTTCTCCTTGTTGAGTCCAGTTCAGGAGTGTTCTATGTTTACCTATATTCTAGGCACACCACTTAAACCCCAGAGTTACATCCACACATCACACAGCTAAGAAGTGTCTATGATGCCTTGTGGTGACAGTTTGAATTGAGGTGAAGAGCTTGGTAATTTTGAATTTGGGAGAAAAATATGGCCATAAAAAAATGGTGGATAATTACTTCAATTTTTGGCTGTCGTTATTTTGTTTCTTTTGTGGAAATTACTCTAGGTGTACATGGATCTATTTTGTGAAAACCAAAGTTGAGGTTCCTACTTCCTAATATCCTCAAGGTCTTCCATATGATGATCCATACACAATCTGACACTAAAATCAAGGTGCTCTGATCTGGTCAAGGTGGGGAGGACTCCAATGGCGAGCAGCTATCTTATTTGGAAGAACATAGAGCAGATCATCAAACTACAACAAAATGGGGTGGCGGAAAGAAAGAATAGACACCTCCTGGAAGTTAGTGGTGCTCCACTCGAGTATGAATGTACCCAAGAAGTGCTGGTCAGAAGCTGTGCACATTGCGTCCTATCTTATCAATCGGATATTGCAATTTAGACCACAAATCTCCCTATAAACTTCTCCATCGTGATCATCTACTGTTTGGTGTTCCTCCTAAAGTATTTAGTTGTATTTACTTACTCATGTTCTTGGTCCGCATTGTACAAAATTGGATCTTAAATACATAAAACATATTTTTCTTGGTTATCCATCCTCTCAAAAGTGTCACAAATGTTATGATCCAGTTGCAGGGAAAAAATTTGTTTCAATGTATGTAACCTACTTTGAGTTCAGTCCTTTTTTCCTTCCTTCTGGGGGACCATAATGTGGAAGAGAGGTTTCTTGCTCCTCTTCCTACCCCTCTCTTCAAGGGGATCACAATGTGTTTTTCTTAGTTATCCATCCTCTCAAACGGGTATTAATAGACCTTTCACTTTCATGCCCAAATATTGAATATGCTGTGAGCATGACTGTCAGTTTATGCATGCTCCACAAACTACCCATCTTGAGGCTGTTTATAGAGTTCTCAAGTGCCTAAAATCATCACCATGTAGAGGACGGTTTGCTTATGAGTTGAATCTTATAAAGATGCAGATTGTGCTGGTCCTATTATAGATCGAAGATCTACATCACGGTATTACACTTTTGTTGGAGGTAACCTAGTAACTTGGAGGAGTACAAAGCAGTCAGTAGTAGCGAGAACAAGTGCAGAAGCTGAGTACAGATCAATGGCTCATGGTGTATGTGAATTACTTTGGCTAAAATTCTTTTACGAGAACTTGGCTATCCTGTGAAGGGCCCTCGTATTGTGATAACAAGGCACCTATAAGTATAGCTCAGAATCCAGTCCAACATGATAAAACTAAGCATATAGAAGTGGATCGACATTTTATTCAAAAAAGTTGCCGCCAGAGAAATTTACCTTCCATATGTTAAAATAAAAGACTAGCTAGCAGGCATTTCTACCAAAGTTGTTGAGAAACGTCAACTACAAGTCATCTTAAGCAAGCTGGGCATCATTGACATATATGCACCAGCTTGAGGGGGTATTCTGTGAATGCAATCTTTATATCTATTTCTCCTGTATTTGAGTTCTTAAGGACTTATTTGTCATTTTCCCTTTTATAAGGACTTATTTGTCATTTCCCTTCCATGAGGGCCGTATTGTAATTTAATATTTTTATTTAGTATTATAAAAAGCGTTAAGTGGGGCATGGGGGTCAGTTTAGACACCACTGTAAATCCTCCATCTCATCCTCTCCTTCATATGATTTTCTCTCCATCTCTCTCTCTCTCT